AAGAGTTCCCAACGGTGTTTTCTGGTCAGCACACTGCAACGGGGTACGCGGGGTGTCATGAAAACGCATCGGTCACTCGCTTTTGCAAACTGTCGAAGGCCATTTTTATGAGGCTTTGGGTGTCCTCTAGAAAGTTAAGCCATTGAGGCATAAGGTTGCGTGAGGGTTAAGATTCCGAAATTAAATGAAGTCAGCCTGCAGTTTGGTGATCGCTGTATACGGTGACCGTCGCACTGCTGGGAAAGTTCTGAGTTCTGCCGCTTGTTTATTGTTGCCACTAGGTTTAGAAGCGCGCAGTTCCCGAGATAATTGTTGAAACAACTGATTAATGCGCTTGCTCATATGCTGCACTGGCGGCGCAAACAAAGGCCAGCTTTGTTGAGCTGTTGACTCAGGGCTCTTCAATGTGGGGAGCTTGTAGTGTCACTGAGTGCGTGCAGCACGAGACTTTGAGCTTCCTGTGCGTTAAGCTCATGCCAATTGAAAACCAAGCCTTTTTAAGGGGATTTGTAGGGCAAGGCAACGAAGTTGTTCCCAATAAAGAGGGGGCAGTAACAAAAAATTGGCACACGTGTGCTCTGCGTTTTAGTCGGAATTGACTGCGATTCATAGCGTTCAATGCATTTGGTGACAGTGTCAACTGACTGTAAGGAAAGAAGCCAGTGACTTGAGGAGAGCGGTCAAAAGATGTATGTGTATGATGCACCTGTGCCTTGTCTGCAGTGCCCATTATACCTCCGCTGCCTACCGTGAAGCCTAGTTTGTGAAATTGATGCTTGGAAAAGACGCCTGTCAGTTGGAAGAAACGGTCAAAGGGTGTCTGCATATCAGAGGTGTCAAAAATGCGCACACGCTTTAGATCCTGACAAACTTAGCGCTGGAGATGCTGTCAGCTGCTGGCCTAAAGGGTCGCGTCGCTTGCTAAGAGCTAAGAGATTTCTGTCCCTGTGTCGCCAGGCAGCTCTTGCAGTGCACAGGCGCTACAATGGGTCCTTCACGAGGCCTCTAGAGGCTATAAATAGAAAGGAGCAGGAGATGTGTTAAAATTAACCTAGTTTACACTGAAATCAAGGCTTTAGGGCTGCGACTTCCCTACAGCGGGCCCAACGTTCGGGCTGGCCCTGTGGCACTGACCCACCGAAGGGCATTCAGTTTTTGCTGTCAAATGACTACAGACGCGTTTCTTCGGCCGATAAGTCGTCATGCTTCTCAGCCATCATTGTAGCTCCATAGAAGGGCGGCAACAGAGGTGCTATCGCTCTATTGTATGGTTTGTACACACACGCATCTTTGTAGCCGACGTAACAGGAAAGGCTTTAAACTCTGGCTACATATCGTCGAGTTTACACATAGAAAAGCTAAAGCGACTAAATGAAGCGTGTGGTTCCATTACAAGGAAAGTTCCGTACTGTGGGGAAGGTCACGCACAAGGAGTCGGCTGGAGAAGATACAGCACTAACTCGGAGGATTTGGCATCGCAAGCGGAAGATGCTCTGTATCACGCTGTGGGTGCCAGTCAACGGAGAGCTAGAACTAGTGGGCCAACCTCGCCCAAATTCGAGCACACTAACACTCAGGCGTCGCCGCCTGGCGCGCAAACATTTTACAAGACTGAAGCATGAAGGTTAAAACAAACCCACAGATACCGTGAAATGGCCAGCTGCACTGGCGTCAACCCATACCGCCAGCTTAAGCGAAACAAGTATTAATTCGTAAACCGTGTAACGGTCAAACACAGAGCGGCACATCGCCAAAAAGCAAGCAGCGGTACGGCTGCCTTTGTGATGGCGCGAGCAACATATCTGGTTGCCCGACCAAAAGAAAAATGCCCCCATAAGTGTTCTATTTTGTAAGGCCTCATACGACGCACACGGGCCCGTAAGCATCAACAGTTTCTAGTGGTAAGCACCAAAACTTTTCCAGGAAATTCCACTGCACGGACCTAATGAAGCCAAGCATTGTTCAGCACCAGCATGCAATCTCACACTCTTGTCTGCAGTAACCAGGCCCCCGAGTTAGCCGCAGCATAGTACTCTGTTGCCGAGGTCGACTGTGTCGGGGGACTTCTGCAACATCCAATGGCATGCAAGCCTTGAGCAGTTCCCTCTTATTTCCGTTGGAGCCTGCTGCAGCCCGAGCACTGGAGTGCTCGGGCTGCAGCAAGCAACGTACCCTGCAGAAGAAAGCGGCGGTTGTTGCTCACTGAGGGGAACTTAGTGAGCAACAACCACCGCTTTCTTCTGCGGGGTAGGTTGCCTATGACTGGTTAGATATACTTACTAGAAATTTGCCAGAAATTTGTCAGTTCATGGAGATACTCAGTATAAACGATGACGCCAGTGTTTAGTGGGAGATGTATATATGCACAAACCAGCTCTGTGAGGCCCTAAACCGGTTTCAGCCTTACCAGAAATCAGGCAGACTTTCTTTCCACATCTTCCCCTCAGTGAGCTCCTAAATTACGCCTTTTTCCTCACTGCCTTCTCAATTATTTCGGCCGATGTTCCCTACTGTAGCCACTGAGCCTCGCGAATGTGAGCTTAGGCAGACTTTATGTGTTTTGTACCGCAGTAAGGCCGACCGTCAGTGCGCCCCATGTAACTGGTATCAGGGTGACTAATCATGCTTGTCCTTGCATTCTTTGCCTTGAGGGATCTTTGGCTGTTGCTGACAGGCCATTTAGCATCTGTGACACTCCACACTCAGGACGTCGCATTTGGGATTCCTTTTGACCTGGCTGCGTGACCGGTCGCTTTTTCGAAGGACGTGGCCGTTCATGCTCCAGTAGAAGCAAGATAGTTAAACCACCAGTCTCTTCCCTTGCCGCTTTGCGTATCTTCTCCGCTGGCATCTTATGTCCTGTGTTGCACGCTTCCTTTGGCCAGTGTTTGCTGTCATTGCCCGCTGCTGTCACCACGGCGGCGACTCCCTTATGACTGCTGCCTGATCAACTGAAGCTGCCCAATGCTTCAAGAACCCAAAAGATAGAATAGTCGCTTTTAGCGCTACCACGACCTGGAGGGCTGACAGTTGCATCGACTTAGCCTACTCAGCCTGTTATACTGAAGCGTAAGTCTATCATACTGAATCGTAAGTCTATCATACTGAATCGTAAGTCTATCATACTGTGAGCATGCGGCCTGGCACAGGCCACATACAATCCTTTTCGTTGCCAACTTGTTTTCTCGCAATGGCCTGTCTAAACACGTCGTTTGATCGCGGGCTTGTGCAAATTCATGCTGGATATTTCCAAAAAGAACGATTTCCGCTTTGTGCACCAACCACACTATAGAGGAAGCGTACGGGTGGTGCCTAGACATTTGAAACGAAACAATCTAACCCATTTAGTCTCTTACTACGTCAGACCAAATGCTATTGAGCAATACGGAGGCCCGGTGCCAGAAGGGTCCCCTGCAAGGGACAACCCTCTGACAAAAATGCTCTCCGACTCTGTATATTAGTGGTCCTGCCGGCCAAGCTGCAGAAGCGCATGTAATTCCTCCTTTAAACGCTTTGTATCCCAGAATTTCTATAGCTGGGAGCGTGGCATATTTGTCGCTCCACATTTCCTCCCCAATACATCAGAATCCACATGCAGCTCTAAATTATCCCTCAAAAGCTACAAAGTTATTCCTTTGAAACGGCGCCGCCCCGCGGTGGTACGGTTACTCTCCAAATATGCTCATCCACTCATTGTCGAAGCCCTTGCCTGACCCTTCACCACTCAGAATGGCTGTTGCCCAATCCGTAACCGCACTAGTCTCTACTATTTTCTCCAGTCAGCCGTCATGGGGCTGTAAGCCCATGTCAGGCCTCTCTAGCCAATATAGTGCACTCTAGATGCTCCTGCAGCACACGGCAATACTTCCGGTACCTAGAACAACAGTGTGGCCGACAATAGCTACAGCCTTGGGAAGCCTCTGGGGCTGCAGGCTGAACAAGGTTGGCTATGGAGGCCACGTCCTGAGATGGTCAGTAGCGGCTTCACGTATGCCTCTGTTCACTCGGGACCGTTCAACGTATAAAAGCTTGTGTGTGGATGTTCGTCGACCTACTTGTGCTGCCATGCATTAATCCTGTTTAACACAGAAGCATAACGAAACAGCCCTCCTTTTCTGTGGAGAACTGAGGAGGGTTCGTGGAACTACACAGTAAGCTCAAGATGCATTGGGGATTTTTTCAGAATAAAAGCGGACTATGGCTTAGATGTGAGGCCAGTAAGCAAGGGTAGACACATGTATATGCTGACACCAAGGGACAATGAAGCGCAACCGCACAGATGCATCCCGAGGCGTGTGGACATGCGAAACTTATAATATTTTGGTGCTCAACAATGTAGCCCGTTCTGTAACCTGTGTGATCATTCACTACCACCTTCGGGCACATGACTGTGGTGCCCTTGCTGTTACTGCTGTCCTGCTCTGAGAGGCCCCACCCGAGGTTGGTGGCCGGTAAGGTTTTCCGTTGCTTGGCTGCTGCCGCACAGTAGGAGTCTAGCGCTTGTCCGGAACCAACGGCTGATAGTAACAGCTTAGTTATGTAGGAAGAAAACATTCATTTTCGGTTCTCCTCACCGAGTCTTGCGAATCAAACTGGTTTCCTCAGTCTCGATGCAGGGAAGCAAGACCCGCCAGCCTGCGCTCTCGCCATATGTCGCGCAGTGTGCTGCAGTGGTTACCTGTGGTGACTTGCAGGTGCAAAGCAGTGTTTTCCGTGTCTTATTTCACTCTTCGTATACCTGGTTGGTTCGGCTAGTCTCGTAGGAACCTCTCACACAAGCGCTTCGCTGGCAGTGTCGCTGGTGTCTCTTGTGTGTCTCCCTTGCCTGCCCGGCTGTCTCCAGCGCTCCCCTCATTCACCTCCATGTTGACTTAGGGTGGCGAGGTCAGCGGCGGCCCATAGAGGTGTAGGGGGCATCAGGTATCCCTCAGCTCCCGCAGAGCTGCAGCAGCAGTGCACGGGGCTCAAACGGCAGCCACCTGCTGCTGTTGCTTCGATTTATGTCAAGCTCCCCTCCCGGTGGTCACAGGGACTGCAGAAACGATGGCCTTGCCCCAGGTCAGCCGCCAAACTCAACGGTGGATGCAGCTGCGCCGGCTGGGCTGCACCAGCTTCGCACAGCGAGACCTCCAGAGAGACCTTCGGGGATCTTTAAGGCCCCACAAGAAGGAACAACTCGCCTGAAACACCAGCAGCATCTCCAGGCAACAGACAGCAGCAGGTGGGACATGGAGCAGCGCGATAGGCCCTGTCGTATTGGCGGCTTGGGGGCTGTCGCGACTCCTGTGTCTGCAAAGGATTTCCCCAAACACGTGCAAACCGTGAACTTGAGGGCCGTTGCGGCTGTTGGCCATACTTCAGAACTTGACCGGCGACAGGACGCAATACCCAAGCCCATGTGCGCAGCAGCAGCGGGAAGTCCCACAGGTCAATCCACGCCAAGCATGTCGAGGGGCCCCTATCACACGTTTTTCGCCACAGAACCCTCCAAGCCGGCAAAGCATTTTTTTGCGGGGCACCCGAGAGGCCTAGCAGGACATTCTAACGTACACAGCGAATCACTGAACCACAAAACCGGTCAGAGCGGCATTGAGAAAGGGATTGAGGTCCCCAGTCCCTCACCGTGTGAGGGTCCAGGTGCTGGAGCAACAGCAGCCTCACATGTGTCCAGTGATTTCAAGAACAATAGAGGGCACAAGGGACAGAGGAGACTTCTGAAGAGTTCGCTTGACACAAACAGACGGGTCCGCTCGTGGTGGCCCCGGGACTCCAAAGTAGCGCCTGAAGACGGAAGGAACTCGCAGTGTCTCAATGCAGCAGCAGGTCTTGCTACAGCAAGCCTTTGCCACTCTTCTTCAGACACAGGAAAGGCACAAGCACAACATTCAGGATGCCTTACCCTGCCTGATACTGCTCGTGGAGGCCCCGTAGGCGGATGCAGTAAGAGAGGCACTAGGGGCCCTGTTGACAGGGGATCTTGTAAGGTCAGCTTTGCGCCCGCGGCCGCAAAGACCACCGTACAAGCGAGGAGGGCCTGCAGCACGTGTATTAAGGCGATCCAGGGCTGTTCTGCAGCAGCAGCATCGCCTGTTGTGGGCGAAACAACAGCAGGTGGCTCCACCTGCACTGGTGGAGAGGACGATGAAGGTGCGCAAGACCGTTTGCACAGCCGCGGCTCAGAAGTGACTCCTACAGTGCTGTACTCAACAGGAGCCCTAGATGGACCGGAAGCGTCCCTCCCGGCAGCGCACTCGCAGCCAGCTGGCAAGGCTGCAGTGCCCCTTCTTTCGCGCGAGGGGTCCCGAGCTGACGCTGGACAGCCGCGGAATGCTATGGATGAGAGGGGCCCAATGCCACGTGCAGCAAAAAATGTGTCTGCTGCTGCCACTCGTGCTGCTGCAGTTGCCAAGGCTGCTGCAGCTGTTGCTGCTGCAGCTCAGGCTGAGGTTGTGGCCGCCGCCACCGTTGCAGCATGGGGAGAGAGCAGAAGCTGCGTGCCTACCTGCACTAGTCTGTCGAGCGAGCAGCGGAGGGAGCAGCTGGCTCTCATCTTACGACTGCTGCTGCTGCTGCCGCCCGAGCTGCAACACGACATACAAGCCCGTCTGTTCATGCTGAAGCAGCAGCAACAGCGGCATCGATGGTCATCGGCCGCTTCTCACCGCTGGCCAAAACGAGCAGCAACAACGGCAAGTCTGCCAATGACGGCGGCAGCCTCAGGAATATTGGGAGGCTCTTGGTGGTCCCACCAACACCAGCAGCCCCATTTTGCAGCATCAACTTCTACTCCCTCTTTCACCGTGCCTCTCCCCTTCGACGTCAGAGATAAGCGTAGTAGGAGCAGCAGCCGCTCTAGCAGCAGCACTCCTTCAGGTGTTGTGTTGAAACTACAGCAACAATGTATGCAGCAGCAGCAGCAGCAGGGAGACCGCCAGCCACCGCCACAGCAGCAGCAGCAATTGTTACGGAATAGTCCGGGAGAATCAACAGTAAATGGCCTTTTCATGTCTGCTACTCTACAGGCATCTGCAGTGCTGCAGCTGACGCCGGGAAGGCATGCAGGAGAGAGCTTGGCAGCTGCAGCTGACCCGGCAGGAGCGGCAGCAACAACAAGGGGTGGCAGCGCAGCGCAGGTCTCCTCAAGTGCCAAGCTGTCCAGCTGCAGATGTCACAAAGGCACGGCTAGGGGGCCTTATAATCGTCCACCGTCCTCCTTTTTGGTGCATGGAAGAAATTCACTGCAGCAGCAGCACCAGCAAAACTCCCAGAACGTAACTGAGGGAGGAGCCGCTGGCTGCAGCAATTTCGTAGGTTCAGTGCATTCCTCGTGTTGTCGTCTCCGCTGCTCCCCCAGTAACCAAGCAGGAGAGGCCCTGCTAGCTGCCGCTCTCCCTCAAAGGTCAGTTGGGCCGTCTTGCAGTGGCTGCAGACGCTGCGAGGGGGCAACAGCAGCAGCTAATGTTAGCAGCAGCACCACTTGCTGCATTGGCACAAGCAGCTGCTGCTCACGCTCTCAAGGACAAGCTCTCAACAGCGCACAGCAGCAGCAATCCGTTGCTGTCCGTGGCTCGCGATCTCACCGCGGGACAGCCTCTCTCCTCTGCTACTACTCCGCTTCCGGCCAACTGAGCACTTCCACCACGGCGATTCCTCAGCCTTCAAGCCAGTGTTGTCACACTGGCCGCGAGAGCTTCCACATCAAGAAGCCGTCACTGGCGTCGCAGCAGCAGCAGCAACAGCAGCAAGAGTTGACAGCAGAAGACGATACAACGGATACATCTGTAGCAGCAGCAGCTGTTGCAGCCGTTCCACCCAGTTCAAGGCATAGGGGTCTCGTAGATGGTGGTGTTGAGGGCTGCATGCGGAGTGGGAGGGGAACTTGCCCGCCTGGTTCTCATCAGCAACAGCCCGGGCGGTGCGGGGGACAGCAGCAAAAGTCCTGCAACGCCGCAGCAACCCAACCTCATGTGATAGGCCTGCATATGGCCCCGTCACGTGGCGGCTGCAGAAGCGCAGGTAGCTGCAGCAGCAGCTACAGCGGCAGCTGCGGGTGGATTGATCAAGGGCTGCTACAAGTTCAGATGTCCTCTGTTCCCTCTTTCCTGCGATCTGGTGCTGTTCCGAGGCCTTCAAACAACGCGGCGGATTTGGCGACTCTGAGGAGCTCCTGGGCCCGACTTTTACTGGCCGCGAGAGGGGGAAAGGATACCCCCAGGACCTTGGCGCTGTCACCTCAGACGGACAGCAGCGTTCTGGGCAGCATCAGTAGCAACAGTAGAAACAGGAACACTGCAAGCAGCAACACCGTGACCAGCAACAGCTTGAGCGACACCAGCAGAGAAGCTTCTCAAGACACGAGACTCTTTCAGACAGAAGGTGAGCGCTTGTGTGCTGAGGCCGATACCAATTCACCTCTTCAAAACAATTGAGACAATTTGCTGTCCTGGCCAGCACACTGCAACGGGGTACGCGGGGTGTCATGAAAACGCATTGGCAACTGGCTTTTGCAAACTGTCGAAGGCCATATTTATGAGGCTTTGGGTGTCCTCTAGAAAGTTAAGCCATTGAGGCATAAGGTTGCGTGAGGGTTAAGATTCCGAAATTAAATGAAGTCAGCCTGCAGTTTGGTGATCGCTGTATACGGTGACCGTCGCACTGCTGGGAAAGTTCTGAGTTCTGCCGCTTGTTTATTGTTGCCACTAGGTTTAGAAGCGCGCAGTTCCCGAGATAATTGTTGAAACAACTGATTAATGCGCTTGCTCATATGCTGCACTGGCGGCGCAAACAAAGGCCAGCTTTGTTGAGCTGTTGACTCAGGGCTTTTCAATGTGGGGAGCTTGTAGTGTCACTGAGTGCGTGCAGCACGAGACTTTGAGCTTCCTGTGCGTTAAGCTCATGCCAATTGAAAACCAAGCCTTTTTAAGGGGATTTGTAGGGCAAGGCAACGAAGTTGTTCCCAATAAAGAGGGGGCAGTAACAAAAAATTGGCACACGTGTGCTCTGCGTTTTAGTCGGAATTGACTGCGATTCATAGCGTTCAATGCATTTGGTGACAGTGTCAACTGACTGTAAGGAAAGAAGCCAGTGACTTGAGGAGAGCGGTCAAAAGATGTATGTGTATGATGCACCTGTGCCTTGTCTGCAGTGCCCATTATACCTCCGCTGCCTACCGTGAAGCCTAGTTTGTGAAATTGATGCTTGGAAAAGACGCCTGTCAGTTGGAAGAAACGGTCAAAGGGTGTCTGCATATCAGAGGTGTCAAAAATGCGCACACGCTTTAGATCCTGACAAACTTAGCGCTGGAGATGCTGTCAGCTGCTGGCCTAAAGGGTCGCGTCGCTTGCTAAGAGCTAAGAGATTTCTGTCCCTGTGTCGCCAGGCAGCTCTTGCAGTGCACAGGCGCTACAATGGGTCCTTCACGAGGCCTCTAGAGGCTATAAATAGAAAGGAGCAGGAGATGTGTTAAAATTAACCTAGTTTACACTGAAATCAAGGCTTTAGGGCTGCGACTTCCCTACAGCGGGCCCAACGTTCGGGCTGGCCCTGTGGCACTGACCCACCGAAGGGCATTCAGTTTTTGCTGTCAAATGACTACAGACGCGTTTCTTCGGCCGATAAGTCGTCATGCTTCTCAGCCATCATTGTAGCTCCATAGAAGGGCGGCAACAGAGGTGCTATCGCTCTATTGTATGGTTTGTACACACACGCATCTTTGTAGCCGACGTAACAGGAAAGGCTTTAAACTCTGGCTACATATCGTCGAGTTTACACATAGAAAAGCTAAAGCGACTAAATGAAGCGTGTGGTTCCATTACAAGGAAAGTTCCGTACTGTGGGGAAGGTCACGCACAAGGAGTCGGCTGGAGAAGATACAGCACTAACTCGGAGGATTTGGCATCGCAAGCGGAAGACGCTCTGTATCACGCTGTGGGTGCCAGTCAACGGAGAGCTAGAACTAGTGGGCCAACCTCGCCCAAATTCGAGCACACTAACACTCAGGCGTCGCCGCCTGGCGCGCAAACATTTTACAAGACTGAAGCATGAAGGTTAAAACAAACCCACAGATACCGTGAAATGGCCAGCTGCACTGGCGTCAACCCATACCGCCAGCTTAAGCGAAACAAGTATTAATTCGTAAACCGTGTAACGGTCAAACACAGAGCGGCACATCGCCAAAAAGCAAGCAGCGGTACGGCTGCCTTTGTGATGGCGCGAGCAACATATCTAATTGCCCGACCAAAAGAAAAATGCCCCCATAAGTGTTCTATTTTGTAAGGCCTCATACGACGCACACGGGCCCGTAAGCATCAACAGTTTCTAGTGGTAAGCACCAAAACTTTTCCAGGAAATTCCACTGCACGGACCTAATGAAGCCAAGCATTGTTCAGCACCA